CTTGGTGCGCGAACGTGAATCAGTGGCGTCAGCATGGGTAAGTGACCCAGATGCACCATCCAATACGTCATAATGTGATCAACTCTAAACCGACGGTACGAAAGGGTGTACCGCCCTAGTCGTCTGCATCGGCCTTCGTACGGCATACCCCGTAAACTGAGGATGAGTCTGGTAGCCAAATGTTGAACACATTCCAGTCTTTGCACCTCGCCACGAGGGATTGGACAATAGGCAAGTAATCCGTACTCGAGCATCTGTTTAGTGATAGGAGAGAAGAGGCGCGTAGCAATCTCTTCATGTCAGATGTAGTAACTGTGTTTGAGCAGCTAAAGCATGCGCAGTCTGTTTCTATATAGCTTGTTCGTGTCGTCTACGGACTTTATATCGCAGCATGAGAGTACTCCGAGATCCTTCAGGGGAGTTATATGATGTAGCGGATGGCCGACCAGCTTGTACGTACGCCCATCAACACGCTTCCTCAGACCGAGGTATAACAATTCATCTGAGTTGACCGGCAAATGGATATCAGTAGAACAACTGTACAGGAGGTCGAAGTCATGCTGAAGGACGTCACAGTCATCCGGAGAATCAATAATTCTCCAAATCTTCAGGTCGTCTGCAAACAATGTACAGCGCGACCAAAGAAGCTGAAGTACTTCGTTGAGGTGGATCAGGAAAATGGGTCCCAGTATTGTACCCTGCGGTACATCACTGTTGGAGAGATACCAGTCCGTTAAATGTTCATCTGCTTGTACTCTCCATGTCCGTCTAGCAATGAAGTCACTAATCCACTTGTCACTGAGCAACCAACATCTAACATCCTCAGCTGGTTGAGGAGGACCTCATGATTCACTTTGTGGAAGGCTTAGCGGAAACCAATCTAGATTACATCTACCGACCTTCCCCGGTTCAACGCCAGCAACCATTCCTGTCTTGTCAACCACAGATAGGTGATACAGGAGCGGCCTCTTATGAAGCCGTGCTGTGCGATAGTCAAGTGGTTTTTCGACTCGAGAAACTGCAATGGACCCATTTTCACGATCTTCTCGACTACTTTGGTCAAAGCGGAGGTCAGATAAATCGGTTGGTAATTGTCCACCTTGCTTGGGTCACCGCCCGTCGGACTCGGCTTCACTATCGAGCACTTCCAATCGCCCATTAACACACCTTTAGACTGCGATGTGTTTAACTGATCAGTCACAGTTCGCATAATGATAGTCGACAGTGAGTTGATAACCAGAGGGTGGAACCTATATGTACCAGCGGGCTTCTTGCTGCCAAGACCAGCAAGTAGTATGCGCGCATCTTCCACATGGCAAACCAGGCTCCCGAGTTCCGTACGGGTTGCACAAGTTGAGTCTCGTATTCACCCATGCCCACCTATTTCTATAGGAATGGAAAACTGAACAACCAAAAGCAGAAATTGTCAAGGAACGCTGCATGTTTTCAGTAGCCTTCAAATCCCACTTACGTACCTTACCAAATGAGTGTAGCATTAGTAACGCAATGCTCTTATACTAATTTTGGATGCAATTAATCTGGCCTGCTTCAAAGTGAGACAATAACATATTGTATTGACGCGATAGGTAACTATCGCGCAGTAGATGGGAAAATCACAAGAATGAGCGAACACAGAAACAGACACACGCATCATGGACGGAATCAGAGGACGCAACACAAGCAACACAGAACGAGCGGAGAGCGGATCACTATCGACGAAACCTAGCAGGCCTTGGCCAAGGAGAACAGAGAAGGTGTTGGTCCAAAGTCCTATAAATCAGTCAAGACAATTCAAGTCAAAATAACTTTTGTTTCTATACGGGTACACATTCAGCACTTTACTGTTGACTACGGATGGGTTAAAATTACATTATCAGAACTGGAGATTAGTATGAATGAAAAGGGAACAATGAGGACAGGGTCAGTTGAATAAACGGTCAGCATAAACGAGCAGAAGTTAAACATTTCTTAAGAGAAAATTCTAAAGCTGCGTTCTGCTTACAGGACAGCACTGTAAGCTATATTTCAAACCAGGATGGTCCATCTTCAAGTGCACAGTACCGTGAGTATTTCTCAACAAGAAAGCGAACAAAAGCCGCGGTGACCTTTAAAAGTTTGCAAAAGGTCAGCATTGGAATGTTTCAGGAGAACTAATGTATCCGCAATGATGTCGTAAAACTGATACGTAAGGAAAACGGCAGCGGCCGACTTAGGAGCCCCGCCCAACATCCACGATGACACAGACTGATATCCGTTTAATAGTTATCTCGATGACATGCACTCTCCACCTACTCAGCATAGACAAGGAGAAACAACGCTAAATATTTCTGTCCGCTCAATATCAGGGAAAATGATCTACATGGCTGGATTGAAAGCAGCAGCGACTATCCCGGTCATCGTAGCCTCCTTCCCTCAAAGTCATCTCTTCTATCATCTGTGTCAGTCAGTCTACTTTCCGTTCCAGCTCCTTGGGTAGGAGCCTCCGCACTGTCATAGGCCCTGCGAAACTTTGAGCCACCGTCACCAGTCTCTCTATCCCGCGGACCTAACCATCGATACAAATACACGCTGTCTTTGAGTTGATTGGGTAGACTTTGGATGAATGGCCCTCTTAGCACTCATTTTCCTGCGGTGACATCTAACTCGGGAAGCCCATCAGCCACGTGTCTGCTCAGCCTCTGTAGAAACAACATCAGGTCTTTTTGCTCTGTAAACGATGCAGAGTGCAACTCATCCAACGTCTGTAGCCTGTCCACTTTCTTTTCGAATTATGCACTCAGCGCTGTCTTCATCTCAGTGAACACTCAAGCGGTTTTGAGCTTCCGAGTTAGTAAGTACCTCCCATTCGCCCTCCCGATCAGCGTCGTGCTCAAGACTGTCATTAAGTTGGCACCACCTATGACTCCAATGAATGACACAACAGCCTCAAACGCTTCGAGCCAAGTTCCCACATCTTCGTCAACAAATGAGTTGGCCAAGACAATTTCATCCTGAATGGTCATGGCACAAATTTAACAAAAACGAAGCGGCAAGAAAACACGCTCTCTATTACACGAGACTACGGATAACCAAGCTGCCAAGCAAGCGCATAAATCGGCCATGTTTTTGTCCTACATTCCACCATATATGGAAAAGCACTACCTGCCACATTCATGCGTCCTTTCCTCCCAACTTGCTGGGTCTTGGCTGCCTGTTTGACCCCGTGTCTTCGCTTCCGTAAATCGCATTCTGACCACCCTGGAGTTGTTCTAATGCTCCTGAGTTGCTTGAGCGTGGTTGAGTTACTCAGCATGGGGCTAATCCTGAAGGCACCGAGGTAGACGTCTCTGACTGATTTCTTGGCCTTGCGACAAATACCTTCTCTGTTCTCCTTGGTTCAGTCCTGCTACCGTTCGTCGCTGGTGATCCGCTCCCCGGTCGTTCTGTGGGGTATGCGCTGCGCTGTCTGATCTCGTCTATAATGCCAGTATCAGTTTCTGTATTTGCTCGTTCTTGTGGCTTTACCGTCTTCTGCGTGGTAGTTAACTACCGGGTCACTACAATAGCATCATCCTGAGAGACCAGCATCTAAATTTGGCCAAGAAATATAAGAGTTAGGAATAGCGTGAAAGGTATGTCTACCCCGTATATCCCAGCGGTGGAATACCCCCTAACGCGTTGTTTCTGCAACCACTCCAATGATGTTTAACATACCGTTTAAACATGAGTTGCATCACTTTCTTTTCCTTACAACTTGTGTTTTACAGGAGTTGGCATATACTTCGCTCAAGTGATCTTCTCATACATTCGAACTAGGAATATTTACTCAAGTTACCATGCAATTAGCACGGTGAGTTCCTCATTACACACCTATATTTATTGACTCAACATCGCAGGCTTTGTTATTTTTACCTCAACTATCCTACTTGACTTCTTAAGTGGTTTTTAACCGTTACATACCGGTGTTTCATATAATCTCTGTTAATGCATTGTACGTGTAATTGCCAGTAAGCTGTATGGTATTTACATCGCCCATAACTATGCTTTTGAAAGTAACGTATGTGTGGCTGTACACTTTTCGAGTCGACGGTTACGGGCACCCTAAATACACTCACGGCTTTGGTGTCGTTCACGTGAACCAAATTTGTGAATGTCACTACTAGGAAGTTCCGAACTTCGCCTTGAAGTTAAATAGACGGCGTAGTGCAGTTTGAGTCATCCTCAAAAGCAAACAGTGCTGTTCGTGGTAACTCAACGATTGAAACAAAAATGGTGCATCTGCTCCGTTCTAACTCAAAGTTAACTTTCATGCTTAGTGTGTACGTCCCATCTCCAAGTGCCGGTCTGAGGCGAGGCGGGTGATATTTTAACCCACTTCAATGAATGACGAAGAGTATCGGTGCAATGTACGCCTCACTTTTGCAGATAGCTTTTGTTATTCCAACGAGAAAGTAGGCGTAAATAGTGAGCTGGAGGTCAACGCGGTTGGGCAAACCGAAAATTATCCAAATATTTGTGCGAAGCTCCATCATGCTTCTGTGATAGAGTGTACATCTACTAGTTTAAACAGCTAGACGAGCTATCTTCTCATTCTCTTTTACCTGCTACAGCTAAATATGTATCTTCCAATGCATTTTGTCGAAACATAATGTAATTCTGAAAACAATATTAGTGACCTTGAAGTAAAGAAATTGATCATCCAGGAAATGACCCATCACACTGGTAAAGACCTTGACAGCAATATACTACTGTGTGTCTAAACAGACATCAGAAGGTTTTTGGATTGTGTCCGTAGACTAACAAAATACTAACCCTGTTCTTGCAATAAGATCTTTGAGCATTATTGTTCTTTGAAAATCTGATTACAGATAGCTATTAGCTTCGTACAAGCAATGGTCCTATTTTTCTCTGCAAATGTTTATTCTTGTCAGGTGTTAAAAAGCTATTAAATTCGGTACAGTGCAGCTATCAATGTGAAACGCACCAGAAGCAGACGCGCCGCACAGAAAGTATCTGCTCTCATGGAAGAGATCCTAACCTCTGGTGCATCACCTGTTCGTTCTGATGACAATTATAATAACGAACACTTCCCTGACTCGACATTGGAACAAACAGAAACAAATATATCACAAACAACTGAAAGTGAGAAAGACGAAGCACTTCCTGCATTGACAGAAGTGTTAGGTCAACAGGTTCGGGGAGGTACCCTGTGTTCTGCTCCTGCTCTACTGTTCACTGCTGCGACTGGTCATAGTGCTCGTGAACAACAATTGGCGGAACCAAGTCCTTATGAGTTGTTGGAAATTCAGTTTTCCAAGGACATTAGCGAAAACATCATTGTGCGGACAAATGCTTGTGCGCAGAAAAATTATTTACAAAATTGTAATACTTATAAATTGGTCACTAACTAAAGAAGGAAGACATTTATTGGTTTAAGCATTCTCATTGGAATAAACCCACTTCCCTGTTACAGCGATTACTGGAGTTCAGCTCCTGGTTTTCTTGACAAGTACATCTGCAACCTAAGTTCAGTCCAAAATTTAAATGATTATTAAATCTGCTGTTAATGGATAAATCTAAAATGCCAAACTTAGGAAAGCTGTTCAGATTACAAGCATTTATCATAAGCTTTCTGTGAACTTTGAGAACGCTTTCTTACCGAAAGAAGTCATTGATGTTGATTAATCAGTGATAAAGTACATAGGTACTTGCCAAAAACCAAGAAAGCGAGGCTATAGAGATTGGGTAACAGAAGATTCTACAGCATATATGAATTGATTTGAGATGCACACTGGTAAGAATAACGGTTGTGGAGCGCCATCTAGGTGAAAGGGTTGTGCAGTCCCTCACTCAATCTTTATACAATACATTGTATAAGCCCAGCTTTCTTTCAGTATCCGAAGGCAGAAAGGATGTATGCGAGCGTGCCAGTAAATCCATCACGAACTGACCTGCCTTCATTGAGAAATAACAAAACACGAAATGTTGTGAATATGACTAAGTAACAAATGATACCGGGCTGAATTTGATGAACTGGATAGACAGGCGGAGCGTTCATCTTCTCTCAAAGTATCAGGACCAGAGTGACAGGACAGCGCTTGTAAGAGCAGAAAAAAGTGTCACAAATATAGATCGCATGGAATAAATTGTTAGGTTACAACGGCAGCACGAATAGTGCCGACAAGTTTGACCGGATAAAAGACACATATGAAACTTACAGCAAGTGGGCAAAATGGTGGCATAAGAGCACTTGGTATTTTGTTGGTACACGTATTGGCAATGCTTATGTTATGCATAAGGAACTACAACTACCCAAAAGGAGCATGAAGATGCTTGAAAAGAAATTTCAAGAGGTCATTTCAGCTTATGCGAAATCGTGAATAAACATCTAGAGTGTCACCCAAATTCAGTGCATTACGGCGAACCCCGATTTCTTCGATTAACCTTGAATTCAAATGAGGAGACAGAGGGAGTCCTACTCTCAGCACTTCATCTTCGAAACGCATCCAGCGGAGTACGCATACTACCCGATATTCCTTGGAAAGGATGTTCAAAGAAAAGAGAAAACCATGGCGGCCATTCTCCGAACGAAAGCAAAGAAACGTATTTGTTTATGGTGTTCCTGAACTAATGGGCTCTCCTGAGCACGAAGCGCAACAGCATGACCGACACCAGTCGTGCTACATCCCCGAAGCACTCTCTCTGACCACGTAAGTGCTAAATCCCTAACGAGAATTCCTTTGTCTCCAAAATACAAGGGCTGCGGCCCAAAAATTCTGAAAGTCGTGCTACACTCCAAAGGGATGACCGAAGTCCTATTGGATAGCCGGTTGAAACATCGCTCCAGGTTGCCTATCGATATTAGGCTAAAGATAGCAGGCGCACGGCCACTAGTTTTCAGCACTTTATTGGAACATGCAACCTGAGTAAAATATTTGCCTCCACAATAGGGCATTAGCGACACCTGACGGGAGAGGAAAACACACGAGAGTACATCTCGATCTGAGATGCTGCATGCATCCTGACTGAAATTCAAATACAAAATGGCTCACACAAAGAACGATTAGCGACCGACCGACGAACGGTCGAGTTAAAATTAAAAACTATTTTGTTGTCCACCTACACACTTCTAACATCAAAAAGACAACCATGCTTGTATACTAACGCGCAAGCTCTTCTTGGTAAGTTGGCCGCTCTTAGAGAATGCCAGACTTCACAAACGCAGGATCTTATTTTGATTACTGAGACCTGATTACTGAGACGTTGCGATTGCAGAGTATGAAGTCAATTTACCTGATATGTCACTGCTTCGGAATGGCGGAGCTGGAAGAGGTGGTGGCGTAATTTTCTATTACAAGGCTAACTTCCGATGTGAAGTTATTGACCGCCCAGAGATCTGTGTTCCAGATTCGCTTTGATGTCTGCTATGGTTGCGGAACAAAAGACGCATGTCTTATAGCTGTGATTTTCCGTCCACCAAACTCTCCGTGTGAAAGATACTCTAAATTTAATCACTTTTCTAATTGCTTTGAGTAAAATATAGTCACATTCGGATCGTAACCGACCGACAGTATGCAGTTCAATTCCTGTTTACAAAAGATAATTTCTAGCTAACTTCTGTGCAACCACGTGACCTCTCCCACCAGCCTTCGTACTGCTAACTAGCCGTCGGTACTTGATCTTGTGCTCACCAACGAAGAACGCATGGTAGACGGAATAATTGCAAGCACAGCACTAGGTCGCAGTGATTATGTGACTCTACTGTTTAACTATGTGTATTATGCGGAATATCCTGTGGAAGAAGATGATAAAGTGTACGCGTTCCCACACCACAGCCTGTTATCCGCGCTTGTTAAGGAGGTATTTTGGACTGGAGGGTTTCGGTGTGGCTCTCTCCTATCCCTGCACTCCACGACCGACGGTTTCGTCTTTGTTTAGACTCAGCAGGTAAAGATATCCGAGCTCGTATTGGAACTCGGCGCTTAGTGCTTGGCGGCTATCGCCATGATCACTAGGCCATTGAGCTCCTCGAGAAATGTTCGACACAGCGGTGAGAAGTAGATTTTCGGGTTTTGCAGCACGCGCTGCTTGTCTTGGATTGCGACGCGCAATCTTACTCGTGGCATCGGTTGACTTTGAAGTCAGCATCTTCTTAACAGAAAGTATCCAGAAATCGCCTGGAACAATTTCATAAAGACGTTCACCACATTCGAAACACACGTATCTGAGCAGAAATCCTTTCACCGTTAAAGGAGAAGGAACACATATTTGAGCAGCAGAAGACGCATATGCATCTCCCTGAGGGACTTAGTATGGAGAGCTCAAAGACTCCTCAAATTCTGATATCTGGACAGTCTATGTGGCACAGCGTTACTTCTGCGTGAATTTGGTCCGCGAGAACAAGGTGACGCATCAGCAGGAGTTAATGAAGAGATTCTGCACGAATCGCAAACTTTTATGAAGACATGTTAAGGGCTTTTAAAAGATTCAAAGCTGAATTCCAGCACTGATCAGGACTGACGGGTGTACGCGAGCAGCAACGGAAGCGGCCGATCTCTTCCGGTTCCATTGCTCACAAACATTCCAGAGAGTAACCGGCCCAAACGCTTATTCCTGTTTCTATTTTCCACCATCAATCTTATCCAATATTACTTTTACTGCAGGAATTGTCAAAGAATCTGTTGTCCCTGCGTATTCACAACAATCAGGGTGTCGAGAACATTCGACCCAAGGCTTTACAGACAACAGCCAGTCATCTGGCGGAACCCCTGGCTATCTTCTATCAGCATTGTATAGAGGAGAACCATATTCCAACAATATGGAAGCGAGGGGTCATCACTCCTATTCACAAGGGAGGTAGTCGCACTGACCCAACTAATTACCGTCCTATAACGCGACTTCCTGTGCTTGCCTAGGTTATGGAGTCTATCATCGCTGATGCACTCATGCAGAATCTGGAAAATAGCAACATGAAAACACCAGAGCAACATGGTTTCAGACAAAAGCGCCTATACACTACCAACCTGTCAATTAAACTCAACAGCTGGACTGAAGCAGTTGGTGGTAGAGCAGGGGTTGATGTCATTTACTTGGACATCTCAAAAGCGCTTGATGGCTTATGCAACCGAGTTCTCCTTCATAAACTTCAGCCCTATGGCATTGATGACCAATGCTACGTTGGATAGGCAATTTTCTGCACGAACGTCGGTTAGAAAGGAGAGTACGAGAATCCCTGTCCGACGTAATTTAAGAGGAGTGTGGCGTACCAAAAGCCTCGGTGCTCGGGCCCCACCTAATCTTGATTTTCATAAACGATCTGACGATGGAAATTACTTCGGATTTCTTATTCTTCGCGGATAATCTCATGTTATGGCGAGCGATCAAAGAACCGAACGACCATGAAAAACCAGCGTGAACTCAACACGACTTCAAACTGTTCAGTTCGGAACACGCTACCGTTCAATGTGGAAAAATGTCATGCTGTTCAATTGCGCCATAGGCATGACTACGTGCATGTGCTTGGATCACATATATTGCAAACAACTTCACAAGAACGCGAGCTTGGTGTGCTCATTCAAATTGACCTTGACTGTTCAAAGCAGTCAGAGGCAGCTGCGAAGATAGCCGACAAGCACGGCTTGTTACGGAGAGCATTCGGAAGATTCGACCCATCTATCTTCCACATGATGCACAATTCTTACGTGCGCCTTTATGTTGAATACGTCGCCCAAGCTTGGCAATCTTGGTTGAAGCGCGACTTAGAAGTACTAGAGAAAACACAAAGCAGGTCCACAAAGAATGTCAAAAGCCTACGAAACCTGTCCTAGCATCAAAGGCTAAAGTCACTGGGGGTTTTTAATGGCATGCAACCTGAGTAAAATTTTGCCTCCACAATAGGGCATTAGCGACACCTGACGGGAGAGGAAAACACACGAGAGTACATCTCGATCTGAGATGCTGCATGCATCCTGACTGAAATTCAAATACAAAATGGCTCACACAAAGAACGATTAGCGACCGACCGACGAACGGTCGACTTAAAATTAAAAACTAATTTGTTGTCCACCTACACACTTCTAACATCAAAAAGACAACCATGCTTGTATACTAACGCGCAAGATCTTCTTAGTAATTGGCCGCTCTTAAAGAATGCCAGACATCACAAACGCAGGATCTTATTTTGATTACTGAGACCTGATTACTGAGACGTTGCGATTGCAGAGTATGAAGTCAATTTACCTGATATGTCACTGCTTCGGAATGGTGGAGCTGGAAGAGGTGGTGGCGTAATTTTCTATTACAAGGCTAACTTCCGATGTGAAGTTATTGACCGCCCAGAGATCTGTGTTCCAGATTCGCTTTGATGTCTGCTATGGTTGCGGAACAAAAGACGCATGTCTTATAGCTGTGA